ACAATGCCGCCCTAAAAAACGTATGTACATATATATATATATATATATATATATATAGCTATTTATAGCATATGTAGATATGGATGATACTCGTAAGACCCAAGAAAGGAAAGTATAACTATTCCAGGGTTCTAGCTGGTATATGAGATCCCTAAGGGCCGAAGCCTACAAAGCCCGAAGGCAGAACCGCACTTTGGATCCCCGCATGTTCTTGATGCTCGCCTGCGCAAGCTGTGTGGAGGTCTTAAAGAAAAGACGTCTGCGAAGGATTCAGGGTTTGGGGTGTTTAGTGAGAAAATCGCAGAGATGGAGAAGGATTCCTTTGGCTACGTTTTAAGCTTGGACCGCCTGAAACGGTGTCGAGGGCTTCGTTGACCCCGAAACTACCCGAAGCCCCAAGTGAGACCCTTGAAGCCGTATGGCCCTGTAGTCCTGGTGCCCTGAACCCTAAACCCTAAACTACTAAACCCTAAACCCCTAAACCGTAAACCCTAAACCCTAAACCCCAGATCTTTGGGGCTCCCGGGCTTTAGGCTTCAGGGTTTTCGGGCTTTGCGGCTTTAAGTGGGTTGAGGGTTCGAGGTCGTGGCTTTGTGGGAGGTGTTGCTGGCAGAATCTGCGCCCTCTTGAGGCCAGCTATGTCTTAGCTGAAGGCCGATGCCCCTAAATCCTGCAAATCCTGTTTGCAAGCCCTTTTAGCCGCCCTGAAAACACCCGACAAGCCCCCTAACGCCCTATAAACCCTCGTAGCCGCTCAGCCCGTGCATACAGGCATGGCTGCCCGTCCTCTCCCCCATAGCGCAGCCAAGTCTCTGCAGACAGCAGTCAAACAATCTCCACATACGGTTAAACCCTAAACCCTAAACCCTAAACCCTAAACCCTAAACCCTAAACCCTAAACCCTAAACCCTAAACCCTAAACCCTAAACCCTAAACCCTAAACCACATGCCACAAGAAGCCACGCCGTCGACTATTCTTCTCCTCGGCAGAAGTGCCCGCAGCCGATTCTTCCAACAGTGCCCGGTGGCACATTTTCCGTAAGCGAATCAGCACTTGGCTGACTTGGCCGACTTCTGAACCCCTGCTAAACGTTTAACTTTTAGGCTCCTTATTGTAGCTTCTACAAAAACCCAAAAAGCTAAAGTCCTAAGAGCCAGCCAGAAGAGAGCCTAGAGCAGACATGAATGTCGATGCCGGTGTCTGCCCATCTAAACCCTCAAATCCCTAGAAGCCCCAGAAGGAAGCCTCGGATGTGCTATACAACCTATAAGCCCTGCAGGCCCTTCTTACCCCACATAAACCCTATTTAGGGTTTAGGGTTTAGGGTTTAGGGTTTAGGGTTTAGGGTTTAGGGTTTAGGGTTTAGGGTTTAGGGTTTAGGATTTAGGGTTTAGGGTTTAGGGCAATAAGCCCCATAAGCCCCACCAACCCCAGGAAGCCCATCAACCCGCTCAAGCCCGAAAACACCTGCCGAACGCCAGAAACCCATAGAGCCCCAATAGCCTGTAAGCCCTGCAACCCCTGTAACCTTTGTAAACCCTGTAAGCCCGATAAACATGGAAACCCTATAAACCCTACAACTCCTAAAACTCTGAAGTCAATCACCCGTATAAACCCCTAGAACCTTCATAAACCCCTACACACCCCTACAAACCCCAAACCCCGAACCCCAAACCCTAAGCCCTAAACCCCAAACCCTAAACCCTAAACCCTAACCCCTAAACCCTAAACCCTAAACCCTAAACCCTAAACCCTAAACCCTAAACCTACCCTAAAAAGCCCCACGTCGGTCGCCTCCTTCACCTTTGGGAAGGGCAAGCGCTGCACCTCGCTGCCGGGCCGCGACACCTGGACCATGCTCAGGCTCAGCAAGTCGCAAGTTTAGGGTTTAGGGTTTAGGGTTTAGGGTTTAGGGTTTAGGGTTTAGGGTTTAGGGTTTAGGGTTTAGGGTTTAGGGTTTAGGGTTTAGGGTTTAGGGTTTAGGGTTTCGGGTTTCGGGTTTAGGGGTTTAGGGGTTTAGAGTTTAGGGTTGATAGGCAACAGGGCTTAGCGTTATAGGGGTAAACCCTATAAGCCCCTGAAAACGCTAAACTCTATACGGGGCTCAGGATTTCGGGTGTATTTTGCGTCTGCGCTCTGCGTCGACCCCCCACCCCCCCTCCTCCCAACCCCGAAGCCCAGCATGCACCACAGGGCGGGAGAGGGGAAAGCTCCCTGAACCCTGAACCTAAGCCACAAACCCTAAGACTTGAATCTTAACCCTGAACCCCACATCATAAACCCGAAGCCCACCATGAAGCACAGACCATGAAGAACAGAGGGAGGGGGAACGCTAGACTCAGAACCCCAAACCCTAAGCCCACGGCGCGAACGACGGGGCGGGATAAGGCAGCTTCCTACATTCGGCAACGGTAGCAATGTAATCGCATGCTGCCTTGAACATGTCACTGTAACCTTGGAAGAAACCTCCACATTGGCCCTCAGGTTGTCTCGCATGGAACATCAAAAACTTGACGGGCTTAGGGTCGAAGGATCTAGGGCTTATGGGCCTAAAGACTCAAGGCTTAATGGCTAAAGAATTTACAGGCCTAGTAGGGCTCAAGGGTTTAGAGTGTAGAGTGTTAGGGTATAGGGTGCTCCGGCTTTGCATTGAGGGGGGGGTTGAGGTCTTAGGCTTAGGGACTGTCTCGGCTCACGAGCTTAGGACTTGGTAGTCCCTAAACCCTGAACCCTAAACCCTAAGCCCTAAACCGTAAACCCTAAACCCTAAACCCTAAACCCTAAACCCTATAGCCCTTGAGGGCGGGGGTTTAAGGCTTTCAGGATGAGATGCGCGCTTAGGCCTCCAAGACTTCTCGTATTCGCCGACATGAGCCTCGTTCCGAGGATCCGTGACCCGAAGTTCCGTAAACCCTCAACCCTACACCCGAAATATTCGACCCTAGCTATGCAACTCTAAATATCCAACCCTAAGTATTATACCCTAACTATTCAACTCTAAATGTTCAACCCTCAACATTGAACCCTAAACCCTAAACATTAAACTGTGCAGCTCCTCCAAGTCCCTCGGCGCCTCTTGCCAGCTCTCGTCGCTGAAGGGAACATAGCTGGCTCGAAGCCAAGGGGCGCGGGCCTGACTTTGAGCTTAGAGGCTTAGAGGCTTAGAGGCTTAGAGGTTTAGAGGTTTAGAGGTTTAGAGGTTTAGAGGTTTAGAGGTTCAGAGGTTTAGAGGTTTAGAGGTTTGGAGGTTTAGAGGTTTAGAGGTTTAGAGAGGTTTAGAGAGGTTTAGAGAGGTTTAGAGAGGTTTAGAGAGGTTTAGAGAGGTTTAGAGAGGTTTAGAGAGGTTTGAGAGGTTTAGAGAGGTTTAGAGAGGTTTAGAGAGGTTTAGAGAGGTTTAGAGAGGTTTAGAGAGGTTTAGAGGTTTAGAGAGGTTTAGAGAGGTTTAGAGAGGTTTAGAGAGGTTTAGAGAGGTTTAGAGAGGTTTAGAGAGGTTTAGAGAGGTTTAGAGAGGTTTAGAGAGGTTTAGAGAGGTTTAGAGGTTTAGAGAGGTTTAGAGAGGTTTAGAGAGGTTTAGAGAGGTTTAGAGAGGTTTAGAGAGGTTTAGAGAGGTTTAGAGAGGTTTAGAGAGGTTTAGAGAGGTTTAGAGAGGTTTAGAGGTGTTTAGAGGTGTTTAGAGGTGTTTAGAGGTGTTTAGAGGTGTTTAGAGGTGTTTAGAGGTGTTTAGAGGTGTTTAGAGGTGTTTAGAGGTGTTTAGAGGTGTTTAGAGGTGTTTAGAGGTGTTTAGAGGTTTAGGGTTCGGGGTTTGAAGGCTCTTTGAGGGGGCCTCCAGGGCTTAGAGGGCTTAGAGAAAAAGGGCACGCTCGGGAGCGGTGCTGCGCCATGAAGGACGGGATAAACCCTGAATCCTTAAACCCGAAACTTCGAACCACTCCCGAGATGAAGAAACCTCGCACTCTGAGCCCGGAACAAAACCACTCCTTTGGCTATTGGATCCTTAAAACCCCGATCCAAACTAAGGCACAACTAAGAATCCAATCAGCCCTGAACCCTAGACGCTAAGCCCTAAACCCTAAAAAGGTGCCAGATGGTTCTTGCTCGTCTGCCTCCCTCCCTAGGAGAAGCACCTGACAGGCTCGCCGACTCACTCTCTTCCCCACTGCTGCCATCAGACGACGTCTCCCGCAGGAGTGCAAGAAGACATGTCATCCGATAGATCGCCCCCAAGTTGAGTTCTTGCACCCTTGTCTCGAGCTTTCACACAGCCGCCTTCTGCTTCTTGATGACGGGCTCTTGCGTTGCGAATCATCTCGCAAAGGTCGCCTTTGCCTCGCTGATATTGTGCTCGTGCCACTCGAAGTGCTGAATTAAACCATCTTATAAGCTGAGCCCACAACCCGAAAAAGCTCAAAGAACCTACCCACGCACCGAAGGTCCCTTGACCGGAAAGACTCTTAACCCGAGCAGCGCTAGAAGGTTCAGGGCGTAGGGCTTAGGGCCGAGGGTGCTGGGTGTAGCCAGAAAGGCTGTTTGGGGCTTAGTTGTTAGGGCTGCTGGGCTTAGGGAAGCTTAGGGTTGTTTTGGGTGAGGGTTTCATCAGGGTTTGGGGTTCAGACCCAAATCTGAGAGTCTCCACCCTACTGCGAATCTAATCCCTAGACACGCCCAGCCTGCAGCAGCCGAACACGCTCCAGCTGGCGCTGCCTTGAAGTTGCTTGGAGGGCTTCATTCTTGGAGTTTCTCTCTTTCACTCTTTGCAAGAACGCCGGGCAAAACCCTGAATCCTCAAACCCTTAACCCTCAAACCTAAATCCGAACTCCTAAACCCTGAACCCTAAAGCCCTTTCTTCGTTTACTTGCTTTTGCAAGCTCTACTTGGAGGTTCATGGTACTTGGTAACCAATCAGAACTGTACCTATAACCATACTGGGGCAACTTAAGGGGCTCATAAGTACAGATATAATTGGTTAAGAAGTAGCATGAACCTCCAAGTAACGGCACGATACCGGTGGGACATGCTGGGCTCAGGATTTAGAGGGCTGCTTACACTTTTGGGGTTTAGGGTTTGGGGTTCAGGGTTTGGGGTTTGAGGTTTAGGGTCTAGGGTCTGGGGTTTACGGTTTGGGGTTTGGGGTTCAGGGTTTTTGGGTTTAGAGTTGAGCGAGACATGGCCAGGACCCTGCAAACAGCTACTCTGACACTGCTGGGTATAGGGATTTAAGGTCTTGGCTTAGGGCTTAGGGTTCAGGGTCTCGGGTTTTACAGTAAGCCTCAACACGTTCACTCAGCCCAACACCCTAAACTTTGAACCCTCAACCCGAGATAAACCCCAAACTCTAACCCTTAAACCTTAAACCCTAAACCCCAAAACCCCAAAACCCCAAAACCCCAAAACCCCAAAACCCCAAAACCCCAAAACCCTAAAACCCTAAAACCCTAAAACCCTAAAAACTAAAACCCTGAAACCCTAAAACCCTGAAGCCCTAAAACCCTGAAACCCTGAAACCCTGAAACACTAAAACCCTAAAACCCTAAAACCCGAACCCGAACCCGAACCCTACCCGAACCTGGCATCAAGCTTTAGACGCGTCCGAGCTTCTCAACTTCACCCTCGTCCTCCGAAGCCGAGTCCTCAGTCTGGGGTTCGGAGCTTAAGATTTGTATTGTTTGAGGGGCCTGAGGGGCCTGAGGGGTTTAGGGGTTAGGGTGTAGGGTTTAAGGTTTAGGGTTTAGGGTTCAGGGTTTAGAGTTTTGGTTTAGGGTTTGGGGTTACCTTGGGGTTTAGGGTTTAGAGTTTAGGGTTTAGGGTTTAGGGTTTAGAGTTTTGGTTTAGGGTTTGCGGTTACCTTGGGGTTTAGGGTTTAGGGTTTAGGGTTTAGGGTTTAGGGTTTAGGGTTTAGGGTTTAGGGTTTAGGGTTTAGGGTTTGAGGTCTATTTAGGGTCTCAGGGGTTTAGGGTTAGAGCTTGCTTGGGCTTCACGAGGCTTGTCACGAAGGTTCATCGGGCGTTCTAAGCAGGGGAAAATACTCAATGACCAGGACGGTCAACCATAACGTAGGTTACCTTAACTTGCTTACTAACTCCATGCATGCAAACCTTCAAGTATCCCCCGAGCCCGAAACCCTAAACCCAAAACCCGGCACCCTAAACCCGAAACCATGAGACCACAAGGTCCGGAAAGCCTACTAGCCCGGAGCCCCAGAAGCCCGAAGCCCAGAGCCCCAAAAACAAGAACCTGCAACAGAGTCGTGAGATTCTTAGGGTAGTTACATGGTCCCTTCATCTGGGCCCTTCAAAGGGTGTCCCTTATATACCCCTAAATACCCTACACAAACTAAGGGCTTGGGTAGCTAGACCCAAGAGTAACCTAGGAGTGAACAGGCTGCCTACAGGGGCTTGTAAGGACACCTAAACCCTAAAAAAGGGAAACTCCGGGTTGGAGGATTCCTGAGATCCTTGTTCAGAGCCGCTACGTAGGCTTGGGGCTGAGCCTGAGCGTCTTGAAGACAGTTTTTGGCGGACTTCTTCCGTGAAGGGGTGCACCTTGAGGTCCCACGCATAGGGGTTTAGGGCGTAGTGCTTAGAGTTCAGAAATTTGGGCCCAGACCCCAAACCCGAAACCCTAGTTTAGGCACATAATTGTCCTCTCACCGTCTGTCTCCCAATCCAAAAAATCTGCAACACACCACCAAGCTCTGTGCGTCTCCGTCATCCCCACTCGCCTGTGATCATGCGCCGATGCTAGCTGGCTTGGAGATTGTAGGAGTTCAGAGCTTCAGGTATACCTAAACCCTAAGCCCTAAATCCTGAACCCTGAACCGTAAACCCTGAACTCCTAACCTGCAACACCTTTGAGGAATCATTCCGATCACTTTTACAGCATCTTGGGGTTTAGGGCCTTAGGGTTTAGGGTGTCGGCCACCCCCCCACCACATGTGGCGTCCATGCAGACAAGAACGAGCAGGAGAAGACCGTGGTGAGTAGCCAGACTCGGTAACAGTCACGCCTCGCCGCACACAACTCAGACAAAGTTGCTGATGATCAACGCGGAATCACCCCCGGGTAGCGATTTCAACAGTGGCGGAGCAGGAACCATCCTCCCAAACCCTGAAAACCCGTGTGCCTTCTGCTGACCAGACCTGGCGAGCCGACCGGGCAAACTTATGCTAGGTAGGTCTTGGGGCTTCTTGAGCCCTCAAACCTACCTGCTACACAAAAGTCGACAGCTTCGCAGTGGAGTCTCGGTAAGCCCTGAACCCGTTCACCTGCGGGTGCCAGGCGTTGGGAAATCCATCTTCTTCTTGTTGCTGGGGCTTTATATAACGAGCTGTAGAAGGTTTGAGGGGTTTTGGGTTTAGGTTTTAGGGTTCAGGGTGTTTAGGGCTTAGGGTTTAGGACAGTTTAGGGTACTAGGACAGGAGGTCTCTAGCGAAAAACCAAACAAGCTATGGCAAAGAGCTTCAGGGCCTGAAGGCACTCGGCCCCAACCTTACTGGAAAAAATCGCAGAGTGCAAAGACGCATTCGTGCAACGAATAACCCAAAAAAGCTAACCCTGAGACCCTCAAACCCTAAACCCTTATTATTCAGAACCTGCGAAGAGGCCTTACAGGCTGTACCCTACACACGCTGAGCCCCCGAAAAGCCCTATCAATAGTCTCCACAAGCAAGCAAAAACAACTGAACCCTCGACTCGACACCCTAAGGCCCTCCCCCCTCACCCGCCCAAAACCAGGCAACAAATAAGCCCCAAAACCAGGCAACAAATAAGTAAATCCTAAACCCTAAACCCCAAACCCTAAACCCTAGACCCCAAAGCGTTGCGGGGGAGACGCTATCCTTGAGTAGGAGACCGCCTGCGCCTCATCCAGGGCCGCACTACAGGTGCGGGGTCTCGGGGGCCTACAGAGCCTGTGGACACAGGACCTCTAGGCTTACTCAGGGGTCACAATCAAGGCATCTAGGGTTGGGGTATGCGTAGCTCCTAGGCAAGTTTCGGGCTTTCGGTTTAGTGCCTGGGACTCAGTCCTACAACCCGTATCCTTGAGCCTCTAGGGTTTAGGGTTTAGGGTTACTAATCAATAACTTCGCGGGGCCGTCGGAGAGCCCTGGGAAGAAACCCGTACCCCACCCCCCCCCCCCCCCCCCCCCCCGAAAAAAAACCCTTAAACTCCAGGACGGTCCTGCGTGGCTGTGGCAGACAATAACACGGAGAGGATGCCTGGCTTTCTGTAGGCAGAGTTAGGGTTGAGTCGAGGGTTTGGGGTGTAGGGTTTAGGGTTTAGGGTAGTGGTGCACTGGGGATTCCGAGCAGGACTGCGAAGCCTGTAAGGCGTTCTTGCACGCCACACATTCTCAGCATGACATCCATGGGTGCCGCACTGTGCTGTGAGGCCAAGACCTAACCCCTCCTAGACCCCGCCTCCATTGTAGTTCCTTTGAATATGGCTACTTCTCTTAGAGCTGGTCCTTCTTGAGGTCCTTATCATAACGCGGCCCCTCTTATTTAGGGGACCCAACGAGGGACCATAGTTTAGAGAACCGACCAGATTCTACTAAGGATTGGGTCCCGAACCCTGGGTCCTGGTCGCGGTGCTAAGCTGTTGGGCCCCCAAACCGAAACCCAAAAAAGACCTTTCTAAACCCTAAACCCTAAACCCCTAAACCCTAAATCCTACACCCCAAACCCTAAACCCTAACCCTAAACCCCTAAACCCTAAATCCTACACCCCAAACCCTAAACCCTAGTCTGTGCAAAACAGCGGCCTAAGACCGTGGTCGTCTTGCCGGTTCCAGGCGGTCCCTAGCGGACTTGTCTCTCTCTCTCTCTCTCTCTCTCTCTCTCTCTCTCTCTTCGGGCTAGGAGCTTCGCTTTGCTGTTTAAGCACAGAGTGTGCTGCTGGTGCCATTAAGTGAGGAAGGTAGAATACATGCTCGAGGATGGAGGGTTCAGAATTCAGGGTACTGCCGCACCCTGCTCTGAACAGTTTGTAGCCTAAACCCTACATCCACGACATTTGTATGTGTGTTTATTTATATAGATATATATATATATATATATATTAAGCTGTGTGCGCGTGCATAGATTCGATTTTAGCTTCGCAGCTCGGTCGCGTAGGTGTAGGCCTGGGGTCTTCATGCCGCGCAGCGGGTATTGAGTGCATGTTGTGGGAATTATTGGGCTTCAGGTCTACACGACAAACGCAGTATTTGGAGTCCTCTTAGAAGTGAAAAAATGCGCCTGGACCAAGGTAATGCCAGAGACCTGCGTCGTCAGAGACACAGAAACCCTTCTGGGCGCAAAGATGAAGAAACGAATGGGCAGTTTGCTCTTCGTTTTGGGTTTAGGGTTTAGGTTTAGGGTTTAGGGTTTAGGGTTTAGGGTTTAGGGTTTAGGGTTTAGGGTTTAGGGTTTAGGGTTTAGGGTTTAGGATTTAGGGTTTAGGGTTTAGGGTTTAGGGTTTAGGGTTTAGGGGTTAGGGTTTAGGGTTTAGGGTTTAGGGTTTAGGGTTTAGGGTTTAGGGTTTAGGGTGTAGGGTGTAGGGTTTAGCGTTTAGGGTTTAGGGTTTAGGGCTTCGTGGTTGAAGCACCATGGGAAGCGGTTGAACTAGACAGCAGTTCGGGTTTGATGCGTTTAAGGTCCCAACTTACACAGGGTGAACCTCAATCTGTTTCTGTCTCCTGGCACACACTCTGCATGGCTTGCGAACGTGTCGGGTTTCGGGCGTGAAGTTCCCAAAGCCCTAAACCCTGAACCCTAAACCCTAAACCCTCAACGCTACACTGGCCTGCGGCATCGGGACTGCTGTGCAGGATAGGGGAGAGCTCTTGGGTTTAGGGTTTAGGGTTCAGGGTTTGGGGTTTAAGGTTGAGGGTTTTAGGTTTAGGGTTTAGGGTTCAGGGTTAAGCATGGGTTGAGGGTGAAGGGCTCGTTTTGTTTTAGGGGTGCTGAGATTCATGAACCACCACATTCCACCGGCTTAGGCAAAGGGATCGGGTTTCGGCCAGCCTTCTTTGAGTCGTGAATGGCATTCTGCTGCGAGGTGTTGTACCTGCACCCAGCGATGGGGTGCTGTAGGCATTTTTGGGGGACTTCCGGCCAGCTGTTTGCCGTCGCCTCTCCCTCCAAAAAACACTCAACCCGAAAGCTTTTGAAGATATGCCCGGCCCGCATTCGCGTGGGGCATGGGGAAGCTTTCCCGCAAAATCGATCACCTCTTTGGGCAGCCAATATGAGACGGCCTTACATTACGGACTACGTAGGAGAAGCCATCGAATGAAGAATCGGTCTCACCAGCAGCGGCGTGCTTTGGAGCTTTTGGGGCTTAGGGGGTTTGGGATTAGGGTTTAGAGCTTACATTGTTTAGGGTTTTCGATATTTAGGGGCGTGATCTGCACCTCCAGACCGTCCGCAGCCTGATTTTAGGAGTCACCCCTGAAGACCTGCAAGTCCTACCGCCGCATGCTGCAACTCACAGCTCTACTCCCAGACCCGCCACAAACCCTAATCCCAAAATCTCTCAAGAACCACCCCCGCACCCTTGCGACCTCGGCACCTAAGTCCTAAACAAACCTTAGCACTTCCTCTCCAAACCGCCACTCCTCTTCGAACCTGCGGGCACGGCTTCAGTGTTCGGGTCCATAGTGGAACCAACGGGCTCTTTACAACCCCAAACCCTGAACCCATGCATTTTAGGGCTTAGGGCTCATGGTGGATTAGTGCCTGGAGCTGAGAAACTTACCACTATCGGTGGGCTCTGATAGAAACTTTCAAGCCCTGAATGGCCCTTGGTGCAGACCCACCTCGCCTCTGTTGAAGCCAGCTCTCGATGGCCTCTGCGGGTCAGGGCATCGAGCGCAAGGCTTCGATCTTCCCCACCGAAACATAATCTAATCTAGGCCCAATAAAGGGGTGCCCTTTTTGGTTTAAAGAGGGTGATAAGGCCCCCCCCCCCCCCCAAAAAAAATAAAAAGGAACAAGGGCCTCTTCTTTGGTCCTTGTAATCAAAACAAATCGTCTTAGTTTTCCCCTCGCGTTCTTCTATTCGCCAAAAGAAAGCACAGAATCTCTGAGGAGAGTAGACTTCGGCTGCCTATGGCCCTGGACCCTGTAAAGCCGGCTGTAGGGGTCCAGGGTTTGGGGTTCCTGGGGGAGGCGAGGGGGCGGGGTCAAGAGAGTTTTTGGGGCTTCCTGATGTAAGCTCGGGCTCTTGCACCACAAATGGCAGCATGCAGTGTGCGTTTAGGGTTTAGGCTTCAGGGTCTACAGTTTAAGGCTTATTGCTACACCGGGAGAGAAACAGCACAGAAGTGTGAATAGGAGTCACTTGCAACCACCGAAACCCGCCAATTTCACTACTAACTATACTCTACCCCCCCCCCCCCCACAAAAAAAAAGAGAAGCAATTGGACAAGCAGGAAGAGGGTCTTGAGAGCTTGCAGTGGGGTCTCTTCCAACTGCAGCTTCGAAAACCCTTAAGCAACACAACGCCCAGTCCTAAAGAGCCATGAAACCTGAACCCTGAGAGCTGAACCCTAGACCCGAAACCTTGAAACCTGAACCCTAAAACCTAAACCTGATGTACAATAACCTCCCGTCGAAGAGCCCCAATTGACTGTTGTCTTTGGGCTCCTCAAGAGTACCCCGAAACCCGAAACCCGAAACCCGAAACCCTAAACCCTAAACCCCCAGACCCTAAACCCTAAACCCTAAACCTGAGTTGCGATGTCGTTTAGAAACAAAATTGATCTATGAGCGCTTGCTGAGTTTCTGCCGGCTCCAAGAGCCCGGCTCCCCGGAACCCCGGTAATACGTTCTCTCACCTGCGGTGTTTAGGGTTTAGGGTTTAGGGTATAGGGTATAGGGTTTAGGGTTTAGGGTTTAGGGTTTAGGGTTTAGGGTTTAGGGTTTAGGGTTTAGGGTTTAGGGTTTGGGGGTAGGGTTTAGGGTTTAGAGTCAGAGTAAGCAAGAAGGGCCTTCTCAGCACCGCCTAGGGCGTAGGGTTGAGGCGGGGAAACACCAGGTTTCGATTTCGATGACCCCAAACCCTAAACCCTAAACCCTAAACCCTGATGAGCTCATGCTTCATGAGGCCTCGGGCAAGTGCAGCGTCTCCTGCCAAGTCTTCAGCGGTTTAGGGTTTACTGGGGTTTAGGGTTTGGGGTGTAGGGTTTGGGGTTTGGGGATTAGGTTTTAGGGATTGGGGTTTAGGGTCTAGGGTAGGGTTTGGGGTTTAATTATAGGGTTTACGGTGTAGGATTCAGGAACTTGAGTAGCTGGCAGCCGGTGGCCACAGCGACTGGCTGCTTTCACGAAGAGCGAAGCACCGCACCAAGAAAGGCTTCTTTCAATCAAGCATCCCTTCGATGCGGGGAAGTCGCTTAAACACAATGGTTTAGGGTTTAGGGTTTAGGGTTTAGGGCTTCGGCTTTAGGGTTTAGGGTTTTAGGGTTTAGGGCTCCTCCACCGCCCCCCTCCCCCGCCCCGCCCCCGGCTCACCAGAGATCAGGGGGACTGAAGGGGGACCCGATTTCTGTCAACAAGCAAGGCACACAGAACCCTAAAACCTAAAACATCAGTCCCCAAACCCCAAACCATAAGCTCTACACCCTAAACCCTTAACCCTAAAGCCCAAGCTTTCAAAGATCCCCCTGTCGCCAGCTTCTGCTGTCAATGTCGCAGGAGAGATCCGACAAAAAACGCTCAATCTGAAAACATGCCGAATCTCCTTGGTAGCCCAGTAAGCATATGATAATAAGGGTGCCCTTGTTGGCTTGGATATTTTATAAGGGAACCTAGAACCAAAAAATGCAAAAACAAAAAAGAGGTACCACTGAGCTACCAAGGATCTTTGAACCCGATAGATCAAGCAAGTCCTACTTACTCCCCGGGCCGCTTGCCCCAAACCCGCAACCCATCCGTAGAGCGCCGAACATGTCAACACGCCCAATGTCAACCCTAAACCCTAAACCCTAAACCCTACACCCTAAACCCTCAACCCCAAACCCTAAACCCTCACCCGTCCTCGCTCTTTGGCAAGGCTGGCTCTGCGCCAACCTCCAGGGCCGATGCTGCCTGGCTTGCCGGGCTTTGTACACACTTTTTTGTGTTTAGGGTTTAGGGTTTAGGGTTTAGGGTTTAGGGTTTAGGGTTTAGGGTTTAGGGTTTAGGGTTTTGGGTTTTGGGGTTAGGGTTTAGGGTTTCAGGGGCTTCTGGGCTGTGGGCTCAGGACTTATTGTAGGGCTTAAGGGCTAAGGCTTAGGGGGTGTAGAGCTTCAGGGCCTTAAAACCGGGGCCACAATGTAGAAGCCTGACCGTGCAACCCTACTTGCACGAGCTAAGAAGACAGGCATCCTCAACCCTACGAAAAATTGGGTTGAAAGATACAGCCGGGCACCCGAGACCTTAAACCCCAAAGCCCCAAAACCCCAAACCCTAAACCCTATGCGTACCAATGATGCAAAAGGAGCAGACCTTCTAAGCCCAGGTTGCCCAGTTGTCTAAACCCTAAACCCTAAACCCTAAACCCTAAACCCTCAACCCCAAACCCCAAAAAAACCCCTCCAGCCTGCATCTCGAAGCCTGTGTCGCCTCTTTGGCTGACAGGGTTTTGGGGTGTAGGGTCTAGGGCTTTAGGGGGCTTTAGGGGGCTTTAGGGGGCTTTTAGGGGGATTTTAGGGGGCTTTTAGGGGGCTTTTAGGGGGCTTTAGGGGCTTTAGGGAACGTGTCCCAGACAGGCCCCTAAACCCTAAACCCTAAACCCTAAACCCTAAACCCTAAACCCTAAACCCTAAACGCATTTGTGGTTTCGGGCTTTGCATAATGAGGTCGCCCCTAAACCCAAACCTGCCCACCACAAGCGATGCCGCCTCCGTCCGCGAGCTCCTCGCGGTTCAAGATGGTGTCCTGCCACGACCCTGTTGAACCCCAAACCCTAAACCCTAAACCCTAAACCCTAAACCCTAAACCCTAAACCCTAAACCCTAAACCCTAAACCCTAAACCCTAAAGGGACCCTAAAAGCCTGGAACTCCGCAGGCCAGCTTCGGTGGCTAAGCCGCCTTCAACGGTGCGGGATGGGATGGGACAGAAAAAAGTAGGGGTTAGGGTTTAGGGTTTAGGGTTTAGGGTTTAGGGTTTAGGGTTTAGGGTTTAGGGTTTAGGGTTTAGGGTTTAGGGTTTAGGGTTTAGGGTTTAGGGTTTAGGGTTTAGGGTTTAGGGTTTAGGGTTTGGGAATACAAGCTCGCCCTGCCTTCTACACCCCACTTGCCCCTGCCTCGTTCTTAGCAGGGAATGAAGGAATGAGGGCCCTATATAATCCCTCCAAGGATATATTATATATAATATAATATATAACTTGTGATATATATATATATAATATACAGGGCCCTCATTCCCTCATTACTAAGAACCAGGGGGAAAACTGAAACCCGGTGCATCCGCCGATCCTTGAGGAAGATCTCGGGCATTGCCTTGAGACCTTCATACTCGCGGATCCTCGGCAGGGCGGAAGAGACAGCCTGTAACCCTAAACCTGAAAACCCTAAACCCCAAAACCCTAAATCCTAAACCCTAAACCCTAAACCCTAAACTGGCCCTAAACCCTAAACTGGCCCTAAACCCTAAACCCTACGCAAATGTTGCGGGTCCACTGTATGGGTGTAGGGTCTGCAGCTTTACTCTAGGCCTCCAAGGGCCCATCTACTACCTACTTCGGGCGATTCGGAGCCCCTGGAAATAAACAGTTTAGGCGTTAGCGTTTTGTTATGAAGGGGTTTAGGGTTTAGGGTTTAGGGTGTAGGGTTTAGGGTTTAGGGTTTAGGCTTTAGGGTTTAGGGTTTAGGGTTTAGGGTTTAGGGTTTAGGGTTTAGGGTTTAGGGTTTAGGGTTCAGGGTTCAGGGTTCAGGGTTTAGGGTTTAGGCATGATGGGCAGGAACAGCAAAGCTGCACATCAGGCGGATGGCCAGCCGCACACGGAGTTGGGGAGGTGTGTAGGGTTTAGGG